ATAAATTGCTGATTTTATAGATTTTCCACCACCCTTGACAAAGTCTCCTACTCCCACACACCTGCCAAAATAGAAAGATCATATGAATAATTTTGGTTTCACAGTAGTTGTAAGAGAGAACTTAAAATAATAACCCAATCACAACATTATGTAAAATGAGATTGTTTAGGCAATATTTATATTATGTAACAATACAATTTATATATACATGCATATTATCTAGGGAATAACTGTCATTAAAGATATTAAGAAGAGAGTGCATTAAAAACAAAGGCAGGTAGAAGAGGGGGTGGAATTTATTCTGTTCCATTTAATCTCTGCTTTACTTCATTTACTTCGTTTTGGCCTGGAAGTCAGGCTGTCAGAACTCTCTCTGTTAGAAGAATTATCATGGAGATTATATAGGGTTCTGAATTTGTATGTGCTTTTGAAAGTTTTCCTTCTGTCAAATTTAGGACTTTGTGTTACAATGAAGAGATAGCTGTGAAGGTAGCTGGCCAATCCCTTCATAGGAATCTTATTTTCACATGGTTTAGCTTTGAATCCAAGGGAAAATCTACTTCTTTTCTTCTTTTATTAATTAGTGCCTTTAATAGGAACTTTCATTAATCAACATGTCTTTAGAAAATCAGGTCTCTTCCCTTAGAGCTGAATAAATCCTGCTGTGTGGAATACTGGTAATGGGGCTAGGACTCATGTTTTCTTGGAATGTATTACAGGGAATTTGATATATGAATGGAAAAAAAATCATTCCTCAGCAACCACAGGCTTTTTTCTTAACAGCGGTTAAAACAAAACAAAAACAAAACCCCAAAGACAAATAACCCAAATATGCTAATTTCTACTACACTCTTTAATGTCTACCTTTCAGATTTAATCACCACAGGAGATAGAATCACAGGCAGAGTCTGGTATAATTATTCTATCATCAGTTTGATCAACTAGCAGCTCATCACATGGGACTTCATACCACCAAAATAGGGACCTGCCCAATGTGTAGTAACATAATTTATAAGGGAGCTCCTTAAAAGAATTTAGAAGCTGCAACACAGTTCTTATCAGAAAAGCATTGACTGTCTTGAGCTTGGGTTTATATAATTAACAACTATGAAACAAAATGAACTATTCAAGCTATTTTCTACACATTTCTCAATAGCCAGATGTTTAGAACTATCTATACAAAACATCCAGATGATTGAAAATTTAAGTATTTGTCATGATATTTGGTATGGTGTTAACACAGCTTATGCTTGAGGAGTGTATTTTTGCACCTGCTTTATTCATCTTCCTAAAAAATAGGTAGTCTAGCAGATTTTTAAATGGAAAAAAAATCACTCTCAAGAAAAGTGATGCCATACTCAATTAAAGGATATATTTATTATTGAACACTTTTATACAGATCATTTCATTGTCTATACTTCAAAGAGATCCTAAGATCACTAGCTACTAAAATGTTCCGTTTTGAATTCCAGAGAAGGAAACAGATCTGAATTTGTGACCAGAGAATTGTTACTTCACCCTCCCCCCATTAATGATCTGATCACCGTAACTTTACCAACCTTTTCATTCTAAACGGGGAGAACTCTTCAATTTGCTGCTGTCTGACTAAAAAATGTATAGTATAATCTGCCACTGTGGTTAAGAATGCAGGCCTACTGGCTTTGTTCAAGGCACAACCTGACAGTACCTTTGTTTCTTCATCTATAAAATGAAGATAATGATAGCATCTGGCTCGTAGGGTTATGTGAGAATTAAATAAGATAATAAATGTAAACTGCCTAATAAACCACCTAGCCCATACTAAGCAGGATGTCTAATGGATTAAAAGGATGTCTGAAGGATAGAGCCAAATGTTGTCGTTATTTCTTTTTTCAGGTAGTTATGTGCATGAATGCTTTGCTTGATCCACCACCTGCACCATGCCCACCTCTGCTCTTCAGTTGCCACTTTACTCTATTCACTCAATCCTGAGCTCAATTCTTTACCTACTGTCTCAGATTGCTTAGCAGATCCTCTATATCATACAGAAGTTATTATTCATAGTTATATGTTATCATAGTTTACATGGGTGTGACACTTCTTTTCCCAACTAGGTTGCACTTTGGGAATTTTGATATCCCTTACCATATTATTCCTTTTTTCCAGAAGTATCTTAGTTTTTGCTTTCCTTGATCTTCTCAAGGAACATTTATATTCATTGTCCATTATGTGTAGGCCCTTAGAATGTACACAAGTGACCAAATGGAATTCTTGGATCTTACTTCTAGTGGAGACAGACACGTGCGTGTGTGTGTGTGTGTGTGTGTGTGTGTGTGTGTGGCCTATTTCATATATTTTATATAGTCATCTCATACTTAAACTACATATTTTCTATAAGTACATGATTTTATAAAATAGAAAGCCATGCTTAGCTCTGCTATTCCCAATTTTTAAAATTCCATACATGGTATTTGGGATATTTAGATTCTAACTCAGTAGTGAAGCTTAAGAATAATCCTACAGAAATCCAATGAAGGGATAAAAAAGTGACTTTTTTTTCGTGAGTCAAGGATATGCCTAATGTATATCTTGAAAAACTTTGAGTTGGGAACAATGACAATTATGAAATATAATTATCTAAGCCAAGGAGTCATAAAGGATTCCTTTTTACATTTTTCCCCACAGTGAAGATGTTAAATTCTATTCATTATGCTAAGACTGCTGGTTAATCTCTGCAGTCTTCCTAACACCCTCCTCTCCACCTCCCAAATAAAGGTAAAGCTTCTGCTGCCTCTAGGGAAAGGGAAATGTCTGGCAGAGTGTTCTAAATCAGACTTTCATGGTAAAATAGCCACTAATAATTAATTTTCTGCTTCCTTTAGAATAGGACAGGTTAAGCATTTGGTCACATTCAGTAAATAAGAAATTACTTGCAGTAATTTCTGCAACATTCTAATCATTTTCCCATTTCTGAAACCTATTTTAAAAGTCTTTGATCTGCATTATGGTGGAAAGGACATTGAATGTGGAAAGAGAAGACTTGATTATGAATTCAACTTTGCCACCCACTAACATTGTAGCTAGGGCAAGTCATTTAACCTAAACATCTCTATTTATTTTCTAGTGATGAAGGACATAGCAATTCATACCCCACAGAGTTGTTATGAGCACCCAATAGGAAAAAAATAGGAAAGCCACAAATGCAGAGGTCACACAATAAACACTTGATGAACCCAGATACTAAATGACACGCTGGAATTATCACAGTTCCAGCAGTGGTATTTTAGAGTTCTATCCTATACCGCACAAATGTGATCTTGTGAAATGGGAAATATGTTCCCCCTATCTTCTTTCTGCATATTTTTAAGAATGACAATACATTATAATTGTTTAATTACATCATTAAAGTTTTTTTTAATTTTTCTTCATTGACCATTATACATATGGAAAAGCTTTTCAATTACCAATGACCTTTATGACTTCTACTGGTTTGGATTCTGTAGATGGTGAAGCTGACTGCAAATTAGATTCTGCAGTGTACCTTGTTCCTTACTTTTTCACCCACTGATTAGTTTCATACAGTTGACAGCAGCCTACCCTGTTGCTTTCAGCTTGCAATTTTGTAGCAATCTGAAACACTGCATTCAATCCCCTAAGGTGTTCTGTGGAAATGCTGTCAAACGATTTCAATGTATGTGTGTTTTCATTCTGTAGCTGTGCTTTGTACTCATTTAAGAAAACCAGTCTTTAATTTGTAACAGAACGTTTTTTGAGATGAAACAGAATTCCAGGCCTCAGCAAAATCACTGGCATATGACCACAGCCTTCTGTTCTAAATCTCGATGTGCCTGAATTCTATTAGATACAAAACAGTATTTTTGAATATTGTTATAGAATATGACTTTGAATATATGGCTTCAAATTTGGCCTTAAAATCTACTAATTGTCATTATGCTTGCCATCATAATCTGGCTCCAGTTTATTCTTCCAGTTTCCAGTCTCATCCCTCTTGCCCTATGTCCTCTACTTATTTGTACTTCCTTGAAACACCTAGCTCTCTCACTTTTACCTGGTGTTGCCCACATATAGCACCTCTGTGTAGAATGCCATGTCTTCCACTCCCTACCTCTTCATCTCAGGCATTTCCTATTCCAGAAAGCATTTCTTTACACCTGAACACCCTTTTTGAATCAAGTACCTTTCTTTTGTCTCTCTGTAGAGTGTGCTCTGTTATTTCTGGATTGTAATAACTGATTTGCTTGGCTGTCTTCTTCACTAGAGTAAAACTTTTAGAGAGCAAGTCAGTACCTATTTCAGTCTATAAGTAGGTGCCTCATAAATGTTTGCTGGATAAATGAATGCTTCCAAAAAAACTATTTGTCATTTGATTGAAAAGGCAGCAAAAATTTGCTACTAAAAGTATTATATTAGCTTTGCTACATTTAATTATGACAGCAATCAGTAAACACAGTTTATAGTTTTATCAGTAAAATACAGTTAATAATTTCAGTGTACAGGCTTACCTCTCTGGAAATGCAAGTTATTTTTTTAAATAAATACTTATATGATTCTAGTCTTTGCTTTCTGAATTTGATACATTATATTCAGAATTAGATTAGGTCAAACGTCTAACTTATAGACCTTTTCTACTTAAAATTTCAAATGAAGAAATATTAGGAAATTGTTATTTGAACTAGTAGAACTATATTCAGATTTTTCACTCACACAGAATGAAAAACAATTTCAATTGGTTTTGAATTGAAACACACACATATATACACACACATACATACACATATACACACAGTCTTTAAAAAAAAACAAGACTGTATACAAGTATTGTTTAACATTTTCATTGGGAATGGAAGATGTATCAGTATATTCATGTTTCCTGAGTTTATGGCTAATGTTTGCATTTGGTGCTGTACTATTACTAAGCAAAAGGAAATAACACTTAAAACAAAAATAATGTCTCTCATTTTCATTTTTATTAATAGTCTTTTGTCTCCTGTAATTTGTAGGTGTTATTTGGAAGATGGAGCTTCAAAGGGTGCCTGGCTGAACCGGTCAAGTATTATTTTTGCGGGAGGTGATAAGTGGTCAGTGGATCCTCGAGTTTCAATTTCGACTTTGAATAAAAGGGACTACAGCCTCCAGATACAGAATGTAGATGTGACAGATGATGGCCCATACACGTGTTCTGTTCAGACTCAACATACGCCGAGAACAATGCAGGTTCATCTAACTGTGCAAGGTATGCATTTTCAGAACTGTTATATTGTGAAGGACTATCCTTAGAAATGCTTAATGTTTAGGTATCACAATGATTCAGAAGCAATTGACTCATCATTGAGTCAATGTTGAAATATATGTTGTCATTGTCTTAAGGGATTTATGTTTTAGGTACTGTTAAGTGTAATAGCTATTACAGACATACAAATCCCCACTTAACAAAGATCAAGAAATATGCATGAAGAAACACCACATTATAATTTTTGTATATAATTCCTTTTGTGTCTTCCTTTAAATCACCCTGGAAATAAATCTTTGAGAACCCATGACTGATACATCAAAATAAATCTTTGAGAACTTATGATATATTAAAATATTAGAACTTTTTGGAATGTGGATGGTAACACTTTAAAAGCAATCCTCCAAGTTCTCCAGTAGTCTGTCTCAATCCACCTTCTGTTTACTTTGACTCAAGTCACAATGAAAAATAGTAGCCTTTTAGAATAGGATGACTTTATTTAGATATAGAGTAATTGGAAATATATATACACAATGTTTTACACTTCGATTTACTTTTAGTAGATGATAAATCATCCTAGCTAACTTTCAATCTTCAAGTATAAACAGAATCATCAAATTATTTTATTTCACTTGCATACTAAAATGTAAGAGCATATGTACCCCCAACACAAATGCTTTTCAATAAAAATGCAATTATAAAGCTAGGAGAATGGGAAAAGTTTATTTTTGCCGTTTTATGTTATTGCCTTGTGTTTTATAGATTAATCATGTATTGATTGTATGGAATATTAGACTCTATGGAACCCAAAAATGACACTGCAGTATTTCTAAGTAAAATTAATACAAATCATATGATAATATGATGCCAGTGCATGCATGGTTTATTTCTAACAGGAAAGTTGAGTGAGCAAGTTAGTTGCACTATTTCTGAATTTACCCCTTAATAAGTCAAGGCTAAAAATTAATTCAGGTATATGGCTGAAGTCTAGAAAATGTTGTTAATCTATAACTTTATTAACAGTGAGCTTTATTTCCTTACATAAAAGTAAACCTGAATTCAAACACAGCTTCAATTGTTAGTACAGTAACTATTTTAACTTCATGATAAGGTTAAACTTCTTAATTAAACAATTAACTTTAAGGAGGAAAGTATACATTGAAAAATAAGTCAATGAATTTCTTAAGTAGTTTTTCTAATTACAGATTATTGAAGACTGTGATGTTGTTCATTATTTGAAAGTAGCATATGAGGATACAAGAAAGTTTTCATAAGATTCCATCTTTATTCAGAGATTATGCAGAGACTCCAGAGGGTAGAAGTTTGTCAAGTTTCAAATCTGACATGAGACTATAAGACAAAAACACATTTCTTAAGTTATTCAGGCCTAATCCTGTTCTCTTGTTCAGTTCTGTGCCCTGTGACTTGAGTTTCTAGCTGAAAGACTATAAAAGATTTTTATTATGTGAGAAAAAGTGTACTTGGACAATAATATATTCAAGTCACTTAAGATACAGACATTTTGCTTGTACGTTTTAAACTGGTAGGTTTAAATGATATATTTCTGAATAATAAATATATCCCCTTCTCCTTTTTCTACTCTCTCTTGTTCCTTGTTAGGCCTATATTTTTAAATCGGACTGTGGGTAGATAATCCCTGCCCAGGTACATGTTTAATTCTTATAGGATTTCCTTATAACTTTATATTACATAGATTATTTAATATTGTTCACATTTTGAAAATTTGCATGCCTTACTTTGGTATTACTTTTTGCTGGTATTATTTTTTGCTGGCCATGTAATGATGAACTTTTGAGCTATTAGTAATGCATATATTGAATGATTTTTCAGTATAATATTTTATTTCCCTAGAAAATGGCTACAAATATACACTTAGAAGAAAAAGAATCTGGTGTTCAGTAGCTCGGTAGGGTGACTATAATTAATCTTAATCTATGGCACATTTCAAAATAGCTAGAAGAGAATAATTCTAATGTTCCTAGCATAAAGAAAAGATAAATATTTAAGATAATGGATATCCCAATTACCCTAATTTGATCATACGAGTGGATCAAATTATCACATATTCCCCCAAAATATATATATATTTATAATTATATATAATATGTATCAATAAAAAATAAAACAATTATTCCATTAGTTTAAAAAAAGAAAATTCATTTTTACTATTTTGAAAAGCATGTGATCTGGTCAAATTAAAAGCTAATAATTTTACAGTATTTATGAACATAATTACTTATCAGAAGTTGATTGACATGTGGGCAGTTTTCCAATTACGTTAATAAAGTTCAGGGAATACATTAATAGGCCTGTCAATCAATTTAAGAATTAAATAAATGTCATAAGTCAACCCCATTTAAGCTACATTTCCTCTCAGTGAACAGAAATAAACTGATGTGTACATCTTTTGATTCTCTAAATTTGCTAGATTGTTTGATGCTCAGGTGTATCTGGATAGTGCTGAAGCATTTGCTTTTTGCTTAACAACTGTCAATATTCTATTCACCAAATAAAGGAATTTAGCAAGTAGGGGAAGATTGTATTAATCACTGATTTTTAACGTACATTGTCCAGTAATAGCAAAGTTCATCTTCAGTTGTTGCAACTATGTACCCAAGATAACTATTTAAAAAAAAAAATTTTTAACAAGAGGATAACTTGCCAACCCAGACACTAGCCATGGGAAATTTATTGGTGCTATTGATTTCTTAGAGCAATTAATATAAATTAATGTAACAATGGGGTAGGAAAAACACTAAAATAAAAGTTGAGAAATGTGAATTCTAATCCTGATTTTCCCTCATGAAATGGATAATTATCAATCCTCTCTGAACTTTCCTTTCCTTATTTAAAAGAGGATTCAGATAAGATCATTAAGCCCCATAGTAGTCCAAAACAAAGACACAGATGACATAAACAAATAAAAAACAAAAACAAAAAATACCTAGTAAGATTATTTCCTTTTGACTTAAAACAAAAAAATAATGTATTTAAGTTTAAAATGGTAAAATAATCTATAACTCATATTGAGCACATACGTGCAACTTTTTTTTTTTTTTTTTTTGAGACAGAGATTCACTCTGTCACCCTAGCTGCAGTGCAATGGCATCATCCTAGGTCACTGTAACCTCAAACTCCTGGGCTCAAGCAGTTCTCCTGCCTCAGCCTCCAAGCAGCTGGGACTACAAGTGCTCACCACCACACCCAGCAATTTTTTTTTTCTATTTTTAGTAGAGGCAGATGGAGCCTCAGCCTTGCCCAGTGCTGGTCCCTGACTCCCGACCTCAAGCAATCCTCTTGCCTTGGCTTCCCTGACTGCTAGGATTATAGGCGTGAGCCACCACACCTGGCCACATATACAAATTAATTTTTACACATAGCCTCTGCTAGTATTTACTCCACAAGTACATTGTATTTCTCTTTACTTTTTTCTTTCACCAACTGAGCTGAACAATCGATGTACTCATGGAATTTTAAAAATGTGATAAATTGGAGTTTGGCTTTAAGGGAGTGGAAATTGGCTAATAGACTATGTAAGAAAATAAATTTTTTTCATTACTTATATATAATATGGTGCTGATAAATCAAATTCCTAATTATTCAGTGTTTCAAATTCTGTGATTCAACATTTACTAAGAGCAATCTTCCTTGTCCGTAAATATAAAAATGTATGAGGCTAGAAGACTTGTTATGAAGCCAGAGCTCTCTATTACATCACTGTAATAATAGGATTCATGACATGTAAATGCTGCTCACTACAGTGTATCACTGGGATTGTTCTATGGTTTGAATGTGTCCCCCAAATTTCATGTGTTGGAAACATAATACCAAATGCAACAATATTGGGAAGTGGAGCTTAATAATAGGTGATTAAGTCACAAGAGCTCTGCCCTCATGAATGGATTAATGTCATTGTCATGGGAGTGGGTTATTAGTTATTGTGAGAATAGGCTTGTTATAAAAGTAAGTTTGGCTGCCTCTTGCTCTCTTGCTCTTGGCCTCTCTTGCCCTTCCGCCTTCTGCCATGGGATTATGCAACACAAAGGTCTTCACCAGATGCCAATGCCATGCTCTTGGACTTCTCAGTCTTCAGAACTATAAGCCAAATAAATTTATTTCATTATAAATTACCCAATCTATGGTATTCCATTCTAGCTACATAAAATGGACTAAGAAAAATTGTTCCTATGTTGAATTCTACATAATGTCTAAAGTCTAAGTTGTATATATCACAAATTAGACACTCATGGATATTGTGTATTAAATAAGTACATATCAAATGTTTATCACTCAACTCATGCCCTTTCAGGGAGGTAAACTCTAGGTTTTTTGTAAGCAGGGTAAAAAAGAGATTTGACTAGCACATAACTCGGTATCCAAAGTAACTTCTGAAATCTATTTAACTTCTCCAGGGTATTGTAATTTCCTCAGGGTACCTGACTCACCCAGAGTATTTGTGACAGATGGAGTGCTACACTTCTCTTTTTAAGACAGGCTTGATTCTCTAGCTGCTGGGAGTATATTCAGCAGACAGCATTCAATGGCCAGCCCTTTTGGGAGTAGCCTCAGCTACAGAGATCCACCTTGCCCAAGGTCAAAGACAGCTGATATCCAGTGACTGGTTGAGGCAGGAGGTATAAAGACTCTTCCCTTTCAGCTGAATGTAAGACAACTCTGACGGGCCTTGGGCCATGTTAGGTCATGAGCTCCAGTGGGCTCTTTTCAATCCTGTCCCTCCTTTTCCTTTCCCAGAGGTTGATCACAATGGTACACCCTAATAGATATAATATCCCAAACTCTAAACTTCATCTTGTTTCAGAGTCTGCTTCCCAAAGATTCCAAACTATGACAATGTCAGATCCTTATCTCTGGCTTAGTCATTGTTTTAAGAAAGCTTTTGCAAAGTGGAAAGACAAAATACATTCAAACACCATTTATTATAAACATTCTGTTTTATGTTGGAGGGGATTTAAAGTGGCTTA